TATTGTGACTCACTTAACAGCTTCAGTGGCTCACTTAACAACGGTGGCAAGAACTCCATCGCTGGAGGTTTTTAAGAGGAGACTGGGCAGCCGTTCGCTTGACACAGCCTGGGGTCTTCCTGTTTGAGCAGGGGCTGGACTAGAAGACCTCCGAGGTACCTTCCAACTCTGTCCTTCTGTTCTGGTGAGAAAGAACTTCCCAGAGGCCTCACTTAACAGCAGAGATGTTGGGCTCCCTAGTGGTCGTAAGCCGAGGACTCCCTGTATCTGTATTTCATCTGTTTTGTTTTTTTTAATGCCTGTGCCTTCCCCCCAAAACGAGGACACCACAATGGTTACAGACTCTAGAACTCTGTCCATCTCCATCTAGAAAGGATATTTAAAAATGATCACTCCGGCCTCATGTTATTTCACGGCCCAATACCATGGGAAGTTGTTTTCTTCTTTTGTTAGGTAAAGGGAACCTTGACGTAGGAAATAACGGCACACTATTTGCCCTCCTATACAAACCTGATGGTTGCATCCCGTTATGGGGAGGAAGATGATGATGATGATGGTATGGCATTGTTACCTTAAGCCAGGAGACTTCAATGCTAATGCAGAGGAGACGTTTGGCTGCCCATTTACTAGCCAATAACTCTGGGCTGCTGATGGTGGCAGTTTCGGCGGGAGGGGGGGAGGGGCTTTCCGCCTGGACCCCTCCCCCTCCCGCAACACCAGGCCCACCAAGGATCCCCCTCCCCCCCTGGAAGCCACCCTACCCCCCCCCTTGTTTGCGGCCTGGGAGGGAAGATCCAGGCGAAGGAAGGCAGCCCTGCGGCCCCTGCCCCGGGTCCCCTCATCCTCATATTGCCGCCCAGCGGGGGCCGCTGCCAGGCCCACCCCAAAGTCCCCTTCAGGTGTGTGTGGGGGGGGGAGGCTTACGCAATAGGCGGAGGCGGCACCGCGGCCATCCCGGCCTCGCCCTCACCGCCCCCGGCTCCTCCCCGGCCGGGCCGCCTCGATCGGCGCACAGAGGCCTGAGGGGCGCTCCGGGAGCCCCCACACCCCGAGGCCCTGCCCTCCGTCCCGAGCCGGCCCGGCTCACCTCAGTCGGGGAAAATGGAGGCCTCGCAGCTCCCTCAGCGGCGACGACGACGACGCTGGGGGGGGCGGGGAAGGGCGACTACCGGAAGCGCCGCGGCGCGGCATCCGGGGCAGGGCGGCAACGCCCTCGGCAAGGGGAGGGACGCTCTGCTATACCCTCTCAGTGGTTGCCAGTGGGTAGATTGGAACGTTGGGCCGGAAGTTGAGGGTCCGGAAGTCCCTGGGCCGCTCTGCCCCCCGCCGCCGCCTCTATGGCTTCCTGTCAGACTCGACCGGCGGCGGAGGATGAGGCTGGCGGTGGCGGCGGCTGCGGCGGCGGTGCTGCTGGTCCTCGGGCCGGGCGAGGCGGGCGAAGCGGGCGAGGGCGGCGCGGTGACTTGCGGCTCGGTGGTGAAGCTGCTCAATCCGCGTCACGGCGTCCGCCTCCATTCGCACGACGTCCGATACGGATCCGGTAACGACCCGGAGGGGGGGGGGGGACGTGAGAGGATTCTTTACATGCTCAGAGGCGCTCTCGACCCTTCCAGAAGCGGCTCGTAGGGCCACCGGCAGGGAGCCCCCCCCCCCTTATCTCCAGCCCCGGACCCCAGACCCCTCATTTGGGGGGGTTCTCTCGGGCCCCCGGCCCCTTATCCCCCCTCCCCGCTTCACGGAATTAGTTTTTGCCTATTAGGGTCTACAAGGGTCATGTAGTTCTCGCCTTACGACCACAGTTAATGTAAAGTGAAGTGAATTACGGAGTCGCTAAGTAAATCAAAAGGGTCGTTAAGTGGATCCGGCTTCCCCTGTTGGTCTCAAAGGCTGATCAGAATGCCACGACCGGTGATGTGACGGTCATAAGTGGGAGGACCAGTCATAAGTCACTGGACATGCTCATCGGCACTGCCATCCCTACCAGACCACCATGAGGCCCGTCCGTGTCTCCATCCAGGCCCCAGGCCCTTCCTTCTGGTGGGGGGGGTCTCTCCACCCTCCCTGGCCGCTTCGCAGCCCCACAATCACTTGCTGGCCTCGGTGACAAGAGTCCTTGACTTACAACTGTTTGTTTAGTGACCGTTTGAAGTTACCACAGCACCTGATCAAAATTTGGATTCTTGGCAACTGCCTCATATTTACGACGGTCGCAGCGCCCCAGGGTCCAATGATCTCCTTTTGCGACCTTTTGACCAAGTCAGTGGGGAAGCCAGATTCACATAACCGTGTTACTAACTCGACAGCTACGGGGATTCATTCAACAACTGTGGCAAGACAGGTTATAAAATGGGGCAAAGCAAACGTCTCACTTAGTAACAAAAATGTGGGGCTCAATTATGGTCTTAAGTCGAGGACTACCTGTAGTAGTCATCATCATCATCATCACAACCAGAAAGAGGGTCTGAATTTCCACTGCTAAGCAAGAAGCATTGTATTGTATTGTATTTAATGGATTTATAGGCTGCCAAATCCCGGAGGACTCCGGGCAGCTTACAGAAAGGAAGTAAATTATAAAAATAAAGAGTTAAAAAAAAAAAGACAAATTAAAAACCTCATCATGCACCCAATCTGGTTGGGACTGGACCTCAGTTATGAGGTCAACAGCCCCAGGCCTGCCGGAATTGCACGATTGTAAGACCTTTTCTCGAAAGGGACCCCTGTTTCCCTGATAAAGTTGGGGGGGCAGAGATTGAGCCCTCAAATAAAGAGAGGCCATTGAAAAAAAAAACTGGAGTCTGTTTTTAACGTATTAACCGCTGTCACTGGTGTTTGCAGGGTGAACAGGCAGGATGGAGGCTGAATGAGCTGCGCGGGTCAAAGTCACCACCTGCATGTGTCCTTCTCTCTTTGGCCAGGCAGTGGGCAGCAGTCTGTGACCGGAGTCACGAGTGTGGACGACAGCAACAGCTACTGGCGTGTGCGGGGCAAGTCGTCCAGCGTTTGCGAGAGAGGCACCCCGGTACAATGCGGGCAGACGATCCGCTTGACCCACATCAACACAGGCCGCAACCTGCACAGCCACCATTTCACCTCTCCCCTTTCGGGCAACCAGGTGAGGCAATCAGGTTCCCACAAATGGCCAGCAAGCAACGGCCTTCAGGTCTTGTGGAGCCGGCGGTTCGTTTTTAAATATTGAGTCGCTTTGCAGAGTGGGATGGGCGTTGCATTAAATGATTAAATGAAGGAATAGTCAAACTGAGCTTGGATATCCAAGTTGCTTGCTTCTGCAACACCAGGCTTGGATTCTGTGGGCAAAGATGTAAAGCATCACTTTATAAAACCTTAGTAAGAGCACACCTGGAATATTGCAACCAATTTTGGTCACCATACTAAAAAAAAAAGATGTTGAGACTTTGGAAAAAGTGCAGAGAAGAGCAACTAAGATGATCAAAGGCCTGGAGACTAAAACACAGGAAGAATGGCTGCAGGATTTGTGTCTGGCCAGTCTAAAGAAAAGAAGAATTTGGGTGGAGATAACAGCAGTATTCCCATATTTGAGGGGCTGCCACAATAGCAATAGCAGTAGACTTATATACCGCTTCATAGGGCTTTCAGCCC